CTCCTTGAAACAGGAGACAAACACATCCCATTTATTCCTGCAGTGATGTGTAAAATCCGCGCGAGTTGCTCAGAGGTGAATAGCAAAGGATATTCGGAGTTTGAGTAGAGCGCGCCTTTAACGCTATCCAGTGTTTTAATATAAATCATAAAAATTCAATATATCAATAAATCGGTCAAGAAACCTCATTATCAGCACTGTTAGATTTGGCATACAAAATGTGACGAGATGTTTATTTCTTGCCAAATATTTTGATATTTGTAACTATAGTGAATGTTTTTTTGTTCAATTCAGTCATTTGTTCCACAGTCTATCATGATTTTCATTAGTTACGTTATTTTAGTCGTTGCCTTTTCTGTAATCCAAGAAGTTCGGCTTCGTGTTTTTTTTTAAATATTTTGGTCTAAGTTGGGCTGAAAATTAGCGCATTTATATTGCTAATAGCCTTATACCATCTCTTTGATTGGGCAAGGATTTTCTTTTGGTTGGGTTTTCGCAGAAATACGAATACTTCAAGTTTTTGCAGCCAGGTCCTCATTGATATCATAACGATTTAAAGTACGTAATTTTAAAGATGATAATCTGGATATTGTTTATATACAGGGTGCCGAATATGTTCCCGTTGTCCTGGTTTAGAAAAGGAACTGAGTGATACAAAAAAAGAGAAAGAAACATTAAAAACCAAAATCATCCAGTTAGAGTTAAAGCTGGAAGTAGATAAGAAGACAAGGAATGAAGAGAAAAAAAGATTGAAGGAGGAAAACATACAACTCGGGATTAAAAGGGATGCCTTGCTAGAATCAAACCATAAACAACTGGAAAAGATAGAAAAATTAAAAAAAAAATAAAAAATATCGAGGAAACGAAAGAAGAGGCTGTGAAAAAAGTGGTAGAATTGAAGAAACAGACTGAAAACCTAGAAGTCGAGAACAAAAAATTAATGGAGCTCAAAGAAACTCAACCGGATCCAGAAGGGCTCAGTAAGTTAATAAAAGAAAAAACTGAGATGTCAACTAAAATAGAAGCGCTAATCGAAAGAGTGAACAAAAGTGAGTCAGATTACAAGAGGGTACAAGAAAAGCTTGATAAGTACATCAACTGCAAATGGCGTAAGTACAAAGGCACAAAATTGATAGTGCCATAATATGTTTCTGCATAGGGTGGTTTAGCCATGTGTTATCCTATACACGATAAAAAAAGAAAACAATATTAGGTAAAATGGTGGTCAATATTTCTTTATCTGTTTAGGAAATGTAGTTAAGTAAATTTGGTTAGAGGATGGAGCAGTACTTCGCCGTTTTAAAATCAGGAATAGACCACACTTCCTATCTAGTTAC